GTGTAATATATTTTTAAACTTTTAGTTTAAACTTTTAGTTTAAAAATTATAAAAACTAAACAGCCTACAGAATTTTTACAGTCTTTATTTTACAGTTAAAAAAGCTGTATGTTTATCAAATAAAGTATAATGTTACAACTAATCGGGGATCCCTTTAAGAGAGTTTAAATGCCCTTTTTGTATTTATCTAAATCTGATCCAGTGTCTAAGCTGATAGGGGGAAAGTCTTTAGAGTGCTGAATTTTCTAAATCTTCACCTCCCATTTGACATTTTGATAATCTGTCACCTTTATCGTAATCTTCCATCCTGGCCCACAGCATCAACCTAACCTGTCCTTTTTTTTTGCCACAGATCATGTCTCCGAACCTGGCGGGGCTTACGGACGACTCGGGTCGCACGCTGACTTCATGTGATTTCAACTTGAGAAGTTTGGCCCCGGACCTAAGGGTGGAGAGGCTGCTGGCYTTCAGCAACCACGAGGAGCTGGATCGCTTCAATCAGGAGTCGCGGCAGGAAAACAGGCTCCCCGAGCTGTTTGCTCTTTACCCGCCGCCTGACGAGGTGAGGTGTCGCTACGAGACCCAGTACGGTACACGTCCTGGAACCAAACTGTGTTTGTGCAATTAAAGTGAGCAAGTCTCAGCCTCAGACTAGTGCCACATTCAAACTATGTAACGTTTAACTCAAAATGAGTACATGAAAAATTAGAAATCTTGAAAGTAATTTTTAAATTATAAAGTTTAAAATTGATAATTTTGTGTCATTGTTGATGACTCAGATGTAGAGTTAAAGAGGTTTTGAGCAGTTGCTTCTGCAAAACAAGCTATTTAAAATAAATCATATTGGGCTCTACGAAATGACAAAATTTCCATTAAAATTTTTTTTAATTATCTGACATTCTACAGCAGGGGTGTCAAACTCATTTTGATCAAGGGGCACATGCGCATTATAGTTGCCCTCAAATGGGCCAGTTGTAATTAATGTCGATGTTTCATGTTTAACTTCAACTTAACAGGAAACATGTTCCTGAGCACAGTTAACAAGCAATAAGCTCTACTTGGTATTTCCTACATAGAATCAGCTTTTTAACATGTCCTCTTAAATATACTGCAAAGTACTACATATATGACTGACTAAATATGAAATAAACTAGAACTGCAAAGCAGTTATGACCGGGGTCCAAGCCCTTTTATGCATGTCAGCCTTTGTCATG